TTTTTTTATTATTTGTAGGATGCAAGATACAAATTCAACCACTATCACAAACACATTAACATTGAAAAATGTACAAAGGATTTCGGGTCCCTTACCAATGCCGCAAAGACGAAAGCCCACTTCATAATATATGTAGCGGCTTTTCGTGCTATGGACTTTGTTGTTTTTTAAAAAGAATTTTGCCGACGACAGCGTGTGTTTGATTGTAGGGAAATAGAACTCGGCCTTGACAATGGTTAAAAAATACAACTATAAATAACTGTTTAAAATATGTAAAAAAAATTCGACAATTTTTGAACCCCCTTTTTGGTCCCCATCCCCTGCCTAATCCGCGACAGTACACTTTGGAGGATCGGTTAAACAGTTACGTGTCCTCTATTTAGCTATTAAAGAGGTGGGGGGCAACGAGTCAAAGAAGTCATTCAAATTTGAAGAGTTGCCTATATTTTACACTGTAGTTTGTGTAATGGATTTTATCTGTTGCGGAAGAGCGTGGTATAGTGACTGTAAAATAAAGATAATCGTACCGCAGCTAGTGTTTTTCTTTTACAAACCAAATATTAAGGCAAAAATGCACGAACATTAAATTCAAAATTTAAAAAAATATTAATTTTGGTCAGCCGTGGGCCCCTAAACGGCCTGCCCCCCCCCCCCCCCCCCCCCGCGCATTGCGGGGTCTGGCGGGACTGTAGTTCCGTCGCTGTTCATCAGGTAAATGAACAACTACTGACTAGTGTCTTTAACAAAATGTGCAGGAGTGGTCAGTTTACAGTTCAGTAGTTCATAGACGGTTCGTTAATCTATGCATTACATCTTATTGTAAGAGTAAGGGTGTGGTGAGGGGTAGAGGTGAGGGGTAGGGGTGAGAGGGGGCAGGGGAGAGAGTTGGGAAGGTTCATTGGAAGGGGACAAGAAAGCGCCGATGAACATCTACATCAATAGTGCCGACTTTTTCCGGTCGTCTAGAAGACCAGGATAGTCGCCGCAACATTTCCCCAGCCCGATTTCAAAGCGTGCCGGCACAGTCAAATTTCAGATGCTTCGCTGAAGGGAGATAACTTAAACTTTTACAAGTTTATTGATACAGTTGTTAAAGTAAAAATGAACGCAATTATAAATGTACGAGATCGAAATAAATAATTATATTTTTTGTAGAATTCAGGCCAGTAGTTTAAACACACAATCATAGATATGTATTTTAATAATGTAAACAATATAACAATGCTTTTTTACTTTCTCGTATATACGTAGTATAGAGAAAGTATTGTAATCGTGCAAAAAAAAAAAATCGAGATTTTTACAAATCTCGACGTTTTACACCTCACTGATACGGAAAAACATAATTTTGCAATCTTGTCCGTATGTCTGTGTGTGTGTGTGTCTGTCTGTCTGTCTGTCTGTCCGTGTGTAAACACGATAACTTGAGTACCGTTACAGCTAGGTGGATGAAATTTCATATATAAGTATTTTATCAAAATCGTAGATCCGTATCAACTTTTGAGCGATTTCCGATAACCGGAAGTGGTACTTTTCCTACTTTGAATTTTTCAAAAGCCTATAACTTGAGTACTATTTCAGATAGATAAATGAAATTTCACATGTAAGTAAAAGATCTAATTCTCTACCTTCTGTTAAATTTTGAGTAATTTCCGTTGACTGGAAGTAGTAATTTACGCTACTTCCGATTTCTCAAAAAACTAATGTAAATTTTTAAAGTACTAATAATATTGCGCACTATTATACGCGTTTTTATTCGGCGTTTGCTTGGTGCGCAATGTTTTTTTTATGAGATTCTATTCTATTTTTAAAAGTTTAAGTATTTAAAATGGATTAAAAATCATAACTATATCCCCAGTTACCATCCCCTGTTGTTTTATATAAGAATATTCGAGAAAGTTTAGGGGAGATCACTACCGGTTTATTGTTCTCCTAGTCGACGCCACTAAAAAGAACGGTAGGCTGCGTCTTTGAAGTTGACTTTATGTCTGGCGGTCTCTCGAGCTATAGTCTGTGCATTTTTATCAAAGACGTTTGCCGACTATCGTGTTTGTTTGTAACTGTAGAAGAAAGATAACTCGACCTCCACCTAATTTTTTTTTTTTAATTTTTTTTTTTTTTAAATAATTAAGCCAGGATTTTTGGGCCCCCAATCGGTCTGGGCCCCCCCGCATTGCGGGGTCTGGCGGCACTGTAGTTCCGCCCCTGACATACGGAAACAATTGCAAAACTATGTTTATCCGCCTCAGGGAGGTGTAAAATGTCGAGATTTGAAAAAAATCTAGAATTTTATTTTGCACGATTACAATACTTTCTCTATTGACCTACCTTTATAAGGTATACGAGTAAGTAAAAATGGCAGAACTAGGTCATGTGGTTTAAATTTGCATTGTTATTAAAAAAAACTTTATCTGCAAAGTATTGTAAACAAAAAACTATGATGTGGGGCTGTCAGAAATCGATCACGGAGTTCCTTTACAGCTAGTCAATGTTTGTCTTACGAATGTGAAACATCGGGTTACAACTTAGGCTTGAAAATAAATGGAAATGTAGCCATAACTAAAAAAAAAAATATTTTCAAGTTCTTTGGATTTACAACTTTTATACCATTTATTCTAAAAATATTAAGTTTCTGAATTATTGTTAGTCTTAAGTTTTCATTTTTAAAAATTATTTTTGTAGTCGCTTTGATTGCAAAATCTAAAAAAAGCACGTTTTTAATCCATGTCAACATTATGATGGAAGAATTCTCGCCAACTCGGTCGCCTCCATTGAGTCACATTCGATGTCATATTGCATTGTCATCTAATCCTGATCCACTAGCCAAGTTTCAAAGAAATTGGTCAGTTAGAGCTGGTCGATAATTCACTCGCCACTACCGCCACTACCGAGCAAATACGAGGAAGCAAGCAAAATAAAATTTAATAACTTAAAACTTACTCGTCCATGGTTGGATCTAGCACTGGACAAGAAAAATAAAACGCATTAAAAATGACGCAGAGTCTAGCGTCAGCTGATGCCACTCGTGCATCAAGAGAGTTGATAAGATTAAGCTTAGACTCCTACACATCTCAAGAAGATTCGGGGCCTAGATTTGAAGTGGATTCATTGTGTTAAGTATTTTTGGTTTAGTTGATATTTATACAAGATGAATTAAAAAGTGTTTTAAATATAAATAAAGCGATCTGATAACCCTTAAATGTTCTCGTATATTACATTTAAAAAAATAAAATGAATAGCATAGTGTAGAATATAGATACATTTTTTTTTGAGAAATTAGAAACAGCGAAAGGTAGTCTACTGGTTCAGTTCGATAGAAATTACTCAAAATTCGATAGATTTATAGAAATCAGTGAATAAGATCTTATACCTGTGTATACAATTTCGTCCACCTTCTTGAAATTGTACTAATGTTATCGCTATTTTAGAAATCAGAAATAAAGTACCACTTCCGGATATCAGTGGTCATTCAAAAATAAGTAATCCAATTATAAAATATTATACTTATATATGAAATTTCTTTGACATAAATGAATAAGCATCGTGTTAAGGTACCACTTTCGGTTATTAGAAATCGTTCAAAATTTGACAGAAATGTCCAATGAGTATTGTGTAATGCGTATACGTGAAATTAAGTTCAACTAACTGAAATGGTACCTAAGTTATTGGATATAGTACAGTGAGTACTACTTTCGATTATAAGAAATCAGTCAAACGTTGATATACTTATAAATGAAGTTTCTTCAACATAATTGAACCAGTATCGTGTGCACAGACAGACATACAACAGACGGGATTGTTAAACTAGACATACAATAGACGGGATTGTTAAACTAGACATACAATAGACGGGATTGTTAAACTAGACATACAATAGACGGGATTGTTAAACTAGACATACAATAGACGAGATTGTTAAACTAGACATACAATAGACGGGATTGTTAAACTAGACATACAATAGACGGGATTGTTAAACTAGACATACAATAGACGGGATTGTTAAACTAGACATACAATAGACGAGATTGTTAAACTAGACATACAATAGACGGGATTGTTAAACTAGACATACAATAGACGGGATTGTTAAACTAGACATACAATAGACGGGATTGTTAAACTAGACATACAATAGACGGGATTGTTAAACTAGACATACAATAGACGGGATTGTTAAACTAGACATACAATAGACGGGATTGTTAAACTAGACATACAATAGACGGGATTGTTAAACTAGACATACAATAGACGGGATTGTTAAACTAGACATACAATAGACGGGATTGTTAAACTAGACATACAATAGACGGGATTGTTAAACTAAGTTTTTCAGAACCAGAGTGGTGTTACACGATTCCAATAGGCCCTACTTTCTTTATAGGTCCTACTTTCTTTATAGGTCCTACTTGATATATGAGAAAGTAAAAGACAACACAATTTGACAAGAAGCAGAGAATAGAAAAGTAAGAAAAAAAACGAAAAAAAAAACAACAACAACAAAGAGAAGTTTAATCACAATCAGTAACAGTGTATTTAGTTGGTTAGTAAGGTTTAACAACATGTCCACTATTTTCTTTGTTTCTGCTTGAACATTTGAGGATGGAGAGGGCAAGAATGTGTAACGACAAATTTCGGCATTCTAAACGTCATTTTGTAATGTGGAATCTTAGCAGTGATTTCAAACTTATCAGGTTTTTATTATATTACACGGAAACAAGTGAAGCTATGTACGCCTACTTCTCTCAATAATATAGCTAATTTGCAAATTGGATCGGAGGCAAAACAATGACATCAGTTTATGCAGGGATGGGGGGTCCGACAATTTGTAAATGTACTGCAATGGATTAGAGATGAACATTTGACAAATAATCTTGACGTCATAATGGAACACCCCTTTCACATTTGGCTAAAATGTCAAAGATGTAAAGACATTAAATTGAGTATAGTTGTCCCAGCTTATTTCAACGCTACATGGACACACATATAATCTGGGTTACCTGTTAAACTATCCCCCTCCACCTTATCTCAGCAGCATGAAGTAGTTTTGGTGAGATAACCACCGTCCTCACCACCGTCCACTCGTGCAGGAGGTGCCTGAGTGACGTGACCACATTTAGCCAGACAAGTCAGCACCCCATTGCAACAGCGGTTATCTTTTGATAAGGTATTATATGACATGAAGTTTAGTTAGCGGCCCAACTACTCTGTTTATTGACAAACACTAGGGGCTAAACTACTCTTTGTTTATTGACAAACACGCACGTGTCAGCTTTCAAAGTTTTAATGTATTCAACGACACAAGTTGACATGTTGTATTTCTTGTTCAACCGACAAGGGACATAACTCTCACACTTCTCTACCTCGCTTCACGTTTTCTGAGCCCGATGTGAGAGGTAGGGTGACGCCACGGGTAGTGTGACGCCTCGGGTAGTGTGACGCCACGGGTAGTGTGACGCCACGGGTAGTGTGACGCCACGGGTAGTGTGACGCCACGGGTAGTGTGACGCCACGGGTAGTGTGACGCCACGGGTAGTGTGACGCTACGGGTAGTGTGACGTCACGGGTAGTGTGACGCTTCGTATAGTGTCACGCATCAGAAAGAGTGAAACATTAGGATCTTCAAACATTTTCTTGTTAAAACATTGTAGAGCTAATTTTTGGAAATAAATAAATGTTTAAGAGAGTACATTTTGCAAATATTTACAACCTAACTTTCCTTAAAATGTATTTCTAATGTTTCTTGTTAAATTATTTCTCTTCATTGTTGGGCTAGTTAATGCTGCTTTTGTCTTAGGCCAAACAAACGGAGTTAATTCCCTTTTGTTGATAAGCATTGGTCTGGAGCCAGGACTGGGGTCTTTTTGATCAAAATGAATGGACCGAATGCTTGGAACTAGATCTCTAATGTCCAAGGGCATTTTGAGTATGGGCGAGATGATTTTCTCCATTTTAACATCACGGTACATCGGAATGGGCGAAGTGATTTTCTCCATGTTGACATCACGGTACATCGGGATGGGCGAAGTGATTTTCTCCATGTTGACATCACGGTACATCGGGATGGGCGAAGTGATTTTCTCCATGTTGACATCACGATAGGCCGGAATGTTCCGAGGCAGCGTCGTGGGCTCACCAGCAGCCGATTGTTTGAGAGCATGATTTTCAATGAGACTTTTGTCCCAGTGTAGATCTTTAGGCCTGTTGCGGCTGATCCTACTGTTGTAGATCTGCTGGCTGCAGAGCTGCTGGCTGTAGACCAGTTGACTCATCTTCTGCTGCAGGGCGCCACACTCCGTCTGATGGAGGGAGTTTTGATGCTCCAGTTTTTTCTTAAAGTCAACCAAATGCATCTCTAGGTGATTGAACCTGGCTTCCATCTCTTCTTGTTTGTGCTTCAGCTGTTGCGTCAAGTTCAAGGCCTTCACGATGTCGTCATTGTGCTTGGAGACCACAGATTTGAGCTCTTGCACTGTTGCATCTACCGGAGGGGCTAGAGAATGGAAATGTGAAATGTCTTGAGCTCCTATACTGTTGCATCTACCGGAGGGGCTAGAGAATGGAAATGTGAAATGTCTTGAGCTCCTAAACTGTTGCATCTACCGGAGGGGCTAGAGAATGGAAATGTGAAATGTCTTGAGCTCCTAAACTGTTGCATCTACCGGAGGGGCTAGAGAATGGAAATGTGAAATGTCTTGAGCTCCTAAACTGTTGCATCTACCGGAGGGGCTAGAGAATGGAAATATGAAATGTCTTTAGCTCCTGAACTGTTGCATCTACCGGAGGGGCTAGAGAATGGAAATGTGAAATGTCTTTAGCTCCTGAACTGTTGCATCTACCGGAGGGGCTAGAGAATGGAAATGTGAAATGTCTTTAGCTCCTGAACTGTTGCATCTACCGGAGGGGCTAGAGAATGGAAATATGAAATGTCTTTAGCTCATGCACTGTTGCATCTACCGGAGGGGCTAGAGAATGGAAATATGAAATGTCTTGAGCTCATGCACTGTTGCATCTACCGGAGGGGCTAGAGAATGGAAATGTGAAATGTCGAGCCAAAGGATGATGTGGGAAAAGAACTGTGTATTAAAATGTAAACAAATTGTTTTCAGTCTTAAAAAACAATAGAACACTCCAATGGAAATAACGTTAAAAAAAGTAAATAAAGATTAACTATATTAACCACGGTGTGATTCACGACTGCTAACCCGAAAGTCTCGAGTTCGGCTCCTGGGCATAGTGCAGGGGCAATATTACGTCACAATCAGGGGTTACATTTACGTAACGAGGAGGGGCTGCATATATCTAACGAGAAAGGAGGGGGGGTATTTACCTGACAGGGAAGGGCTACATTTACCTGACGAGGCGCAGTGTAGGGGGAGGGGGCTACACTTACCTGAAGAGGAGGTGCTACATTTACCTGAAGAGGAGGTGCTACATTTACCTGAAGAGGAGGTGCTATATTTACCTGAAGAGGAGGTGCTACATTTACCTGAAGAGGAGGTGCTATATTTACCTGAAGAGGAGGTGCTACATTTACCTGAAGAGGAGGTGCTATATTTACCTGAAGAGGAGGTGCTACATTTACCTGAAGAGGAGGTGCTATATTTACCTGAAGAGGAGGTGCTACATTTACCTGAAGAGGAGGTGCTACATTTACCTGAAGAAGAGGTGCTACATTTACCTGAAGAGGAGGTGCTAGATTTACCTGAAGAGGAGGTGCTATATTTACCTGAAGAGGAGGTGCTACATTTACCTGAAGAGGAGGTGCTATATTCACCTGAAGAGGAGGTGCTACATTTACCTGAAGAGGAGGTGCTACATTTACCTGAAGAGGAGGTGCTACATTTTGCTTGAGTTGCTGGGCTAGAATTTCCTAAAGATGAATGCATTGTTGCAGCTAAAGAATGGTATTCTTTCGATAAATCATCTTTATCACTATGCTGCAATAGGAGATAAAACACACACCAAGTCATTACTATTAAGCAATAGAAGATTGGCACAACTGCAGAACCTAAAATTATTTATATTAATTGGGGTATTTATATTTACAAGTAATTTCACGAGTTAAAAAATATTTAGGTGGTTTTTGTTCAATAGTTCAAGTCATAATTTGGTTGAAAACATTTTCTCCTAAGTGAGTGGAAAAAATATTGACACTGAATAACAATTGAACATACCGTCTGACAAGATTCCTTTTCTTTAATTTCCATAAATTTGATTTCAAGACTAAGAAGATAAAAAAACTCCTCATGAGTTAATCCCCTTAATTTAGCCTCTACAAGCTTTTTTATAAGGTCCGGGCGTTTAGGTGTGGTGCCTCCATTAGAATCTTGACTCTCACTGAGCTGATGGTTAAATACAAGATTGAACACAGCTAACAACAGTACGTAGTCAGATACAGAAACAAGAATTGACACAGCTAACAACAGTAGGTAGCCAGATACAGAAACAAGAATTGACACAGCTAACAACAGTAGGTAGTCAGATATAGAAACAAGAATGTACACAGCTAACAACAGTAGGTAGTCAGATACAGAAACAAGAATTGACACAGCTAACAACAGTAGGTAGCCAGATACAGAAACAAGAATTGACACAGCTAACAACAGTAGGTAGTCAGATATAGAAACAAGAATGTACACAGCTAACAACAGTAGGTAGCCAGATATAGAAACAAGAATTGACACAGCTAACAACAGTAGGTAGCCAGATACAGAAACAAGAATTGACACAGCTAACAACAGTAGGTAGTCAGATACAGAAACAAGAATTGACACAGCTAACAACAGTAGGTAGTCAGATACAGAAACAAGAATTGACACAGCTAACAACAGTAGGTAGCCAGATACAGAAACAAGAATTGACACAGCTAACAACATTAGGTAGTCAGCTATAGAAACAAGAATTGACACAGCTAACAACAGTAGGTAGTCAGATACAGAAACAAGAATTGACACAGCTAACAACAGTAGGTAGTCAGATACAGAAACAAGAATTGACACAGCTAACAACAGTAGGTAGCCAGATACAGAAACAAGAATTGACACAGCTAACAACATTAGGTAGTCAGCTATAGAAACAAGAATTGACACAGCTAACAACATTAGGTAGTCAGATACAGAAACAAGAATTGACACAGCTAACAACAGTAGGTAGCCAGATACAGAAACAAGAATTGACACAGGTAACAACAGTAGGTAGCCAGATACAGAAACAAGAATTGACACAGCTAACAACATTAGGTAGTCAGCTATAGAAACAAGAATTGACACAGCTAACAACATTAGGTAGTCAGATATAGAAACAAGAATTGACACAGCTAACAACAGTAGGTAGCCAGATACAGAAACAAGAATTGACACAGCTAACAACAGTACGTAGTCAGATACAGAAACAATAATTGACACAGCTAACAACAGTAGGGAGCCAGATACAGAAACAAGAATTGACACAGCTAACAACAGCAGTAGGTAGCCAGATACAGAAACAAGAATTGACACAGCTAACAACAGTAGGTAGTCAGATATAGAAACAAGAATTGACACAGCCAACAACAGTAGGTAGCCAGATACAGAAACAAGAATTGACACAGCTAACAACAGTAGGTAGTCAGATACAGAAACAAGAATTGACACAGCTAACAACAGTAGGTAGCCAGATACAGAAACAAGAATTGACACAGCTAACAACAGTAGGTAGTCAGATATAGAAACAAGAATTGACACAGCCAACAACAGTAAGTAGCCAGATACAGAAACAAGAATTGACACAGCTAACAACAGTAGGTAGTCAGATACAGAAACAAGAATTGACACAGCGTACAACAGTAGGTAGCCAGATACAGAAACAAGAATTGACACAGCTAACAAGAGTAGGTAGCCAGATACAGAAACAAGAATTGACACAGCTAACAACAGTAGGTAGCCAGATACAGAAACAAGAATTGACACAGCTAACAACAGTACGTAGTCAGATACAGAAACAAGAATTGACACAGCTAACAACAGTAGGGAGCCAGATACAGAAACAAGAATTGACACAGCTAACAACAGTAGGTAGCCAGATACAGAAACAAGAATTGACACAGCAAACAACAGTTGGTAGTCAGATACAGAAACAAGAATTGACACAGCTAACAACAGTAGGTAGCCAGATACAGAAACAAGAATTGACACAGCTAACAACAGTAGGTAGCCAGATACAGAAACAAGAATTGACACAGCTAACAACAGTAGGTAGCCAGATACAGAAACAAGAATTGACACAGCTAACAACAGTAGGTAGTCAGATACAGAAACAAGAATTGACACAGCTAACAACAGTAGGTAGTCAGATACAGAAACAAGAATTGACACAGCTAACAACAGTAGGTAGCCAGATACAGAAACAAGAATTGACACAGCTAACAACATTAGGTAGTCAGCTATAGAAACAAGAATTGACACAGCTAACAACAGCAGTAGGTAGTCAGATACAGAAACAAGAATTGACACAGCTAACAACAGTAGGTAGCCAGATACAGAAACAAGAATGTACACAGCTAACAACAGTACGTAGTCAGATACAGAAACAAGAATTGACACAGCTAACAACAGTACGTAGTCAGATACAGAAACAAGAATTGACACAGCTAACAACAGTACGTTGTCAGATACAGAAACAAGAATTGACACAGCTAACAACAGTAGGTAGTCAGATACAGAAACAAGAATTGACACAGCTGACAACAGTAGGTAGTCAGATACAGAAACAAGAATTGACACAGCTAACAACAGTAGGTAGCCAGATACAGAAACAAGAATTGACACAGCTAACAACAGTAGGAAGCCAGATATAAATGTCATTTTATTGTCACCTTGAATTGAATTTTTTCCCTGAGTTTTGTTATTTTGTCTTCGATATCTAGCAAATAGAAAAATTCATCCTTTGAAAGTCCTAGACTTTTTGCATCGCTAAGCTTAGTTAAAAGATCTTCTTTGGTAAGTGAATCCTGAAAATAATAATTGACATGATTTTTCAGGCCGTGATTGTATTTCATTACCTTTCAATCTTTAAAATTTCCAATTCCAACAATTGTTTTCTATACAGATCTGTTTTTTTAAATACTACGTATTACATATATTTTTGAAGTGGGTCACTAAGGTAACTAATAGTTACATATTTTAATGATATGTGTATTCACGCATGTACTGAGTTTACATCTACAGACTTTCAATACAAACGATAAACTCAACCATTTCTGGGTATGGGGTCCTCTCGTCCAGCTACTTTGCATCAAGTCTTTAACCCCTCTCTAGCATAGAGCCCCTCTCTTCATAAGAAATGTGATAAGTCCTGCATCTCGCACTGACTCACATCTGAAATATTGTTTTCGGTTTGCACTGGTTAAACGCTGGAAGTAGGTTTAGTAGCGTCGCTAGGTCTACAAATGGTGTCAACCCCCCACCCCCATTTTTGTGTATATTTTGCAGTTGGCGTCACCGCCCCCCACCCCCACCCCGTTTTTACTTTCTTGTATTCGAAGTATAGAGGAAGTAAAAAAAAAAATTCGAGGTTTTCATAAATCTCGACGTTTTAACCTCCCTGAGTCGGAAAAACATAGTTTTCTGAGGCAATTTTTCCGTATGTCTGTGTGTGTATGTGTGAATTTGTGTGTGTGTGTAAGTGTGAACACGAGAAGTTGAGTACCGTTACAGCTAAGTTGATGCAATTTTATATTTAAGTTGTGTTTATGTTTGCGTTTTCGTTTTTTTATCTGCGTTTGCGTTGTTTATGTTTGTGTTTGTATTTTCTTTTGTGTTTATATTTGCCGTTGCGTTTGTATTTGCAATCGCGTGTTGCGTTTGTTTCTTTTGTATTTGCGTTTGTGTTTGCGTTTGCATTGTGTTTGCATTTTTGTTTGAGTTTTCGTTCGTTTGTGTTGTGTTTTCTTTTATGTTTGAATTTGTGTTTGCATTTAAGTTTGCGTGTTGCGTTGTGTTTGTTTTATATAACATAAAAAATGATGATTGCTATTTACTTAAAAGAACTGTAACTTTTTTTGTCGTTGACAAACTTTTATGGATTTAAGTGTTAGACTGTTATCGTGCTCAAAGTCTAAATTTATGAGTTAAAAAATTACTATTGAAAGTGTTGGGAAATAATTTTCATTTTTCAAACTGATTGTAATAATTGTCGGCATGTTCAATAAACACAATTTAAAAAAAAGTAACAAAACTTCTAATTATGTCTGAAAATTATTTATGTTTAGTCTTTTAGCACCTACTTCCCTTTGATACATTCGGAAAACACAATTACTTCCCTTTATAAACATTGCTTTCGTGGAAAAGAATTTACTTTTTATTACTTTGCTTTGGTGTTGGGAAAAAAAATTACATAATTAGCGGGGATTGATCAAGTGCAAATGTTGTAGGTATTTTACGAATAAGTTTGGAGTATTATAATTGTTCATTTGGTTTGGTTTGGCACCTACGTTCGTTTAAGTGAGTGCAAAAGACTATGAATAAGTTGGGGTACTATAGTCGATTATTAAGCTGAAACAGGCGATTCTGCCCCGGGCTAGACTGTGAGCACTTTGCGTTTATGTTCGCGTTAGTGTTTTCTTTGTGTTTAGGTTGGGTTTGCGTTAGTGGTTGCGTTTTGATTTGGTTCGTTTTTGTTCTTTCTTTTTTCGTTTGTGTTTTTTTCTTTGGGTTTGTGTTTGTATTTGTGTTTGTGGTTGGTTTTGCGTTTGGATTTGGTTTGTTTTCGTTTGCTTTTTCGTTTGTGTTTTTTTTCTTTGGGTTTTTGTTTGTGGTTGGTTTTGCGTTTGGATTTGGTTTTCGTTTGCTTTTTCGTTTTTTTTTCTTTGTGTTCGTATTGGTGTTTATGGTTGTGGTTGGGTTTGTTGTTAGGTTTTTGTTTTCGTTTGCTTTTTTTTTTTTTTTTTTTTTGTGTGTTTGTATTGGTAAAATAAAGTAAAATAAAACTACAACAACATAATTAAAATAAAACTACAACAACATAAGTAAAATAAAAAGTACAACAACATAAGTAAAATAAAGCAACAACAACATAAGTAAAATAAAATTACAGCAACATAAGTAAAATAAAACTACAACAACATAAGTAAAATAAAAGTACAATAACATAAGTAAAATAAAAGTACAATAACATAAGTAAAATAAAAATACAACAACATAAGTAAAATAAAAGTACAACAACATAAGTAAAATAAAAGTACAATAACATAAGTAAAATAAAACTACAACAACATAAGTAAAATAAAAGTACAACAACATAAGTAAAATAAAAGTACAATAACATAAGTAAAATAAAACTACAACAACATAAGTACAATAAAACTTCCATGATGTGACCCCGGTTGGTCAGAACTCCACAAAGAGCAACAGGACGGCTATTAGTCGTTCTAAAGAGCACCCAGTACACCTTGGTTTCGGTGGGCAACTAACTACACCGAATCAGGGATAGCGCCACTAAGGGGTAGTAACTGGTGACTCCCACTAGTAGCTACGACGCCAACTAAGATCCGAGAAATGTCTCAGTTGCTGAATCATTACAAAATTTAACCCGTCAAATCGCACAATACTTATAATAGGATCAGTCATTTCACAATGGTGAATCTCTAATATCGGGTAACTAAAATGTATAACAACTTGTATAATCGGATAAGTTAGGCAAAATTGTTTGGCTTTTTGTTGCCTGACTTGCCCTGTCAAAAAATACGTAATAACAATAATATTTTTAAATAGTAATAATCAATTACATTGTTAAAATGTAATAGGTACTAGACATCTAGATCTAGCGGAAAAAAAGTAGGTCTGTTGACTTTCATAAACAGCCTCTAAAATCATTTTTTTTTAAAGTTGTACGCTCTATCTTACAGCTTTCAAATGTTAATCTCGATCTAGATCTATAGATCTAGTATGTCTAGAATTAAGATCAATAAAATCAAGATAGATCTAGATTTCTATCTAGATCTAGAATCTAGATCTAGATCTAGATCTAGATCTAGATCTAATAAAATTGGCATTTGGTACTTCAAAATTCCGTTACATCGAATCAAAGCTAGATCTTTACTTTCTCGAATTAAACTTTTGCCATAATCAGAACAATCTATATAAACCTTGATATTTATTTACCACATTTAATATTTGAAAAATGAATTAATAGTCGCAGAGTTAGACTAACCATTGAGTGTAGGCCGCTCCTAGTTGCAAGTTTTGCGCCATCCTTAACCGGTGCTAGGCAGTACAAATCTCAAGGTGCGTAATTTGGCCAACACATTTTGTGACGTTTCTGTATATCCGTGAGCACTGGAGGGACAAAACTGAATGGAGATGATTCCGCCTGAATATCTAGTTGTCAGGTTCGTGTAAGGGTAAGATACCAGCATGAACGTGTGACGAAATCAACATGTTTTTAACGTGTTTCGTTGCTGACTGTCGTTGAAACGAAAATTGACATTGCTCTAAAGTGATGTTCAATTTCATCGTATAAAATATGAGATAAGGGGTCATCCATAAATGACGTCACACTCGTAGGGGGGAGGGGGGTCCATAATTTTGTGACGATGTGTGATGAGAGGGAGGGGGGGGGGGGTCAGATGTTGCGACGTCACATTTTTGCATTATAAAAAAGCAATGTTAGAAAACGAATTTTAGACGTTATTTCGCGTTTTAGATAACTGTTTTAATAAATTGTAATAGTTTAGACAAGATTTTGGAAAAATATCGATGTTTTAAAAAATTCAACTGCAATTTTGAGGGGGGGTTGTAGGTTGAGGTGTGACGTCATTTTAGGGGGGCGGGGTCTGACTTTTTGTGACGACGTGTGACGGAGGGGAGGGGGGGAGGTAAAAATCGTCCAAAAAAGCGTGACGTCATTTATGGATGACCCCTAAATCTACTAGAAAAATTTATAATAAATTAATATTCACTTATAATCAACTAGGCATATTGCCTAGCTTTGTTTAGGTTTTTAACAAATGAAATTGAGTGCTTAGGTTTTTTTTTCCTGGAAAGATCGAACTGTTTTTTTTTTCTCCTCCTCCCTTTGTTACCTTTGTGTTTCTTCTGAGATATCTCTCGCTTTTTCTTAGATGAACCATCCATAGTTTCTCCCTCTCCAAAGTCATCAAAGTCAGCCAACGCTCCGAGTGCAGACATGGTACCCAACTTTCTTCATCCAGCCATTTCTTTCTTTGACACTGTAAGCCTGACAAAATTATCTCCTTCAAATTCTGTTTTTTCCTTTCATTTTATGATTGACCAAAATTCTGTAAGATCATGAAATTCAACAATCTTTATGGGTGCATCTGTGTACTGTTCTCTCATCTCACGAATCAAGGTCGATCTCAAGGCTCGCTTTGTTTTTTTCCCCACCATTTTCTTCTCCCTCTCCTGCACGTGGAGTGTTTAGGGCCTAAGTTTAAAGAGTCTGAGTAATTTTCTTGGGGGGGGGGGGAGTATTCGCAAACTTATTACTCGCAAGGTTATTACAACTGCAAAGGCTTCCTTAATAGTATAAAAAAATATTTAAAATTCAGTTTCGCAATTGATTTTTACAATTCCCTTACAATACGTAACTTAATTGATAACGAAATATCTATTTAAACGAATGCTATACTTTGTACGTTTATTTTTATTTTTAAATAGTATTAAAAATATTTAAAAATTATTACTTTCATAAGTTACATCCCCTCGTCGAGGGCTTTGAGTCTGACCAATAGTTTTTCCATACGGCCTAGTCATCTATAGAAGTGCATGCAAAAAATTAGCCAGATGTACAGAGGTTTAGTACCCTAAAATGTGTGTTGAAATTACCCTGTTTATCACATAAATTACAAAGATTATATTGGGAAATACGACTCGTCAGTTTTGACCACTTTAGGAAGTTTTCCCAGATATGCCGAGTTTTTATGAAACGGGGGGTCGTTCGGCAAACGTTTTTTTTTTTCGTAATATAGCTCATATAAGGCGCCGGTCAGTCAAGGTCAGTTTTGACCACCTCTTCGCGGACTTTGCGGCCAATAGGCACCGGCCCTCGTGTTCTATTGTCCCAAGGCAGGATCCTGCCAAATTTGAACAAAATATAAAATGATGTATCGAAGAAAATGTAAAAGAATGTATTGAAGAAAATGTAAAAGGATTTATCGAACAAAATGTAAAAGAATGTATTGAAGAAAATGTAAAAGGATTTATCGAACAAAATGAAAAAGAATGTATTGAACAAAATGTAAAAGGATTTATCGAACGAAATGTAAAAGGATGTATTGAACGAAATGTAAAATGAGTTATCGAACAAAATGTAAAAGAATGTATCGAACAACATATAAACTTATGACTCTTACAACATATTAGCAGATCTTGAATTGGAAATGTGCGAAAGAATTATAGATCTAAAGTCAGGAGTGTGGAAAAGATCAATAAAGATCTGGAGTGTCTGTAAACGATGTCCACTGTGAGCAGACGACAGAAGTTGTGACGAGTCTCCTGCACCAATCAATACATCTTCTTCATATTTAACAGCAATCACTTCCACGTTGAAAACATCCGGAATAACAGGATGGAACATGGACACTGAGTTTTACAGAACCGAGGCAATATGTTGTGTTGAAATGTTTTAGGTGATTTCACTTCGTGTTGAGTTGCCGTGCTGATTCTAAACCAGTCCAGCTATACAGATATTATTTGTGAATGTCAACTATACATATATTATGTGTTAGTGGTCAGCGATACAGACATTTTTTGTGAAGATCAGATATACAGATATTATGTGCTAGTGGTCAGCTATACACACATTATTTGTGATGCTTAGCTATACAGATATTATTTGTGAATGTCAGTTATACAGACATTATTTGTGAAGGTCAGCTATACAGACATTATTTGTGAAGGTCAACTATAAAGACATTATTTATGAAGATCAGCTATAAAGACAGTATTTGTGAAGGTCAGCTATAAAGACAGTATTTGTGAAGGTCAGCTATAAAGACAGTATTTGTGAAGGTCAGCTATAAAGACATTATTTGAGAGTTACCAGCTATAAAGACAGTATTTGTGAAGGTCAGCTATAAAGACAGTATTTGTGAAGTTCAGCTATAAAGACAGTATTTGTAAATGTCAGCTATAAAGACAGTATTTGTGAAGGTCAGCTATAAAGACATTATTTGTGGGTGACCAGCTATACACACCTTATTAGGCAAGCTTTATTTTAAACAAGAACACGATCGTTCAATAAACTGTATTTCTAAAAGACGCTAAACAACGATGTTCTATTCGAGTGATGGGTATTGTAGTGATATATTAAATCACCGTAGAAAAACCAGAACGATTGAGAATTGCTTACGAATAATATAAAGAGAATTTGCCAATTGTTTAAAGCCTTTATAAAGCACTTAGCTACATTAGACGGAGCCGGGATTGTTTAAAGCCATTATACAGCACTTAGCTACATTAGACGGAGCAGGGATTGTTTAAAAAAGAGCCAACTCCATGGAGTGTAACTCTACCTTCGCTAAAAACTCTGGGCCTTCGTGTGTTGCTGACCGTTCGACCAATGCTGTTGTCTGGCTTCCGTATCTCGGCGTGGTGTTCTTCCTTCTGATCGTGTCCATTCTCTGCGTGTCTTGGCTCAGCTATTGGCGGCGTGTGAAGAAACGTCATCGAATGCTGCTGGACTATCTGCAAGTGGACATTGACGTCAGACGGAGACGTATCTGTGGGGTCATGAGGACCCCTGTCCACATGTTCGTGCCGGAAGTCACCCCTGTAAACAGTGGCAACAGCAGACCGTTTGTACCCCAGCATACGGAGAATAAGTCGCGAACTCCGCTAAGTCACCTGGGTATCAGCCCAGTTCATTCAGTCGCACGTCAAGATATTTTGGGATCTAGTCGCGTTACTCTTGCAAATAAAGCGAGGAATCATATCATGAAACAGAGGAGCACAAGAAAAATATTTCAGTCTGAGAGGGATGAGAATAAACACATTTTTACCATTGAAAACAATCGTGTGAGCATGGAAGAAAGTATTCCCTTGGATAATTCAATCATATGGATAGATACTTGCAATAGCCTGAATAAAACTAATGAGCGATCGAATAGCTCCAGCAATCAGCGAAGGAAATGTACTGCTACCAATTATGTTAACGATCGTACAGACTCACCTTGTGCCAAATGTACTGCTACCAATTATGTTAACGATCGTACAGACTCACCTTGTGCCAAATGTACTGCTACCAATTATGTTAACGATCGTACAGACTCACCTTGTGCCAAACCAGCACACGGTCAAACACGAATACAGGATGGGAGAAGAAAGTGGAAGAATTTAAACTGGAAACACGAAGCACATCCTCGAGCCAGAGATCAAGTTGACGTCCATCTTGGTGGTGGGCAGGCGAATTACGGGGAAGGGGAAATCAAAGAAATGTAAGAGACGAACTTAATGAAACCACACTGAAGAAAACGAACTGTACCCATAGTCTCTGTTAGATACAGGCTTAGGTGGCATCCAGTCAGGAGACGAACACAGATAATCCGTCCTAGACGTATAGATCTACACCAAAACGATAGGATGCCTACATCTAGAAGGCAACGATAGTATGCCTGGATCTAGTCGGCAACAAAATGATGCCTGTACATCTAGACGGCAACGATAGGATGTCTGACATCTAGGCGGCAACAATAGGATGCCTGTACATCTACACGGCAACGATATGATGCCTAAATCTAGACGGCAACGATAGGATGCCTGTACATCTACACGGCAACGGTATGATGCCTAAATCTAGACGGCAACGATAGGATGCCTGTACATCTACACGGCAACGATATGATGCCTAAATCTAGACGGCAACGATAGAATGTTTGTTCATCTATATGGGAAGAATATAATGTCTGTAGAGGAGTGTGATTTTAGCATCGATAAACGACCAGGGTCACGCAGTTGACAGTCACATGACATAGGTTTTCATGCCACTCTCTGCCAGCATTAGCATCGATAAACGACCAGGGTCAAGCAGTTGAGAGTCACATGACGTAGGTTTTTATGCCACTCTCTGCCAGCAGCAGGCTGTAGCATACACATGTCTCAGGTTTCAGGGACAATGAGCAAGCATTGATCCGGCAAGGCTATGTGGACACTGGCATCGATCACGCTCTCTCCAGAGGAAGATCAGATAGTCATCTAATAATTCTAATTGGTTGTAATCAGGCAATATATTGTAATCGGGCAATATTTTGTAATC